AAAAAATCTGAACAGACCAAAGAGATACCCCATTTTTCTTAATGGCAGTCTTACAATTAATCAGTTTTCTCATAGTATAGAAATATGTGATTCCAATTAGATTCCCAGTTTTAAAACACTAATGAAAAGGATTAAATTTTGGGTTTAAAATGTTTTAATTATGCAGTATTTCAAACAAATCCAAAAGAGAAATTACTAACTGGGAGAAGACTTTGGCAATATATATTAATGGTAAAGGATTAGTATCTCTAGTACATTTTAGAAAAAAACTCCATTAAAAAAACACAAAAAGGAAAAATGGGCAAAGGATAAAGTGATCTTTAAGACTCATATGTAAAAAACAAATTGAAAAAAAGAGAAAGGACTCGCCTTACCAGCCAAAAACATAGAGGGCCACTAACATCAAAACTATTGTTTCACCAGGCCCCTGAGACAGTCTGATGAAAGCTGCAGAGCCTTTCTAAGAATGTTTTTTAAAGCATAAAACAATACACACATGATTAAAGAAAACCAATTACACTGAAATACATTACCTTCCTAGACTAAAAAATTCTAAAATAGAAGGCCGAAGAAGATTCCGGTACTTACAGGAATTTAATCTAGCACAAAAGTGGTACTTCAGCTCAGAGGGGAAAATAAAATGTATTTAATGTGTAGTGTAGGCAGCACACTGGATATCCATACGGAGAAGAGGAAGATGGCTCCCTATCTTGTAACATAAGCAAAAGTAATTCTAAGTTATGAGTGGTTCAAAAAGAAAAAAAGAAAATGACAATCTCTGAAGAGACTAAGACTGCATGTACAATCTGAGAGTTGGGGAACCCAGAGGTATAAAAGAAAAAAATAAATAAATAAAAAACTTGTATGAGAAACCACAGCATCATCAGAGTGAAAAGACAAACACAGATCAGAAAAAATGCTTAGGACAGACACATAGGTTAATATCTGTACTTACAAAGAGCTTATATAAAACCACAAAAACTGACAGAAAAATTGGCAAAGAATATGCATAATCATTTAAAAAAAGAGCAACTCCAAATGGCACACAAATATGAAAAACTACAGGGAATGCAAACTAAGTTACACCTTGCAAATATGAAGTAATAAAAATTAAAATTTGAGAACACTTCCGGTGGCTGATGGGGAATGCTAGTGGAAATGTTCATTGTCACACTTTTTGGTAAGCCTTCTATAAAATATATCAAAACTAACAAAAAACACATTTTCTTTGACCAATGGATCCAACTCTTACATACTTTCTACAGAATATTTACTGCAGTACCATCTGCAAAGGCAAAAAATAGAAACAGTATGAATGCCCACCACTATAAGAATGGTTAAATAAACTGTGGCAATCCATACCCCCCACCACGGAATATTAATACTGCACAATTGCTAAAATAGATGTTAGATGCATATAAATTGGTTTGGAAGGATCTTCACAATCTATTGACAGGTAAGAAAGGAAACAGGAGGTAAATATACAGATGATCCCATTTTTTGTATAACAATGTGTATATATATATATATATATATATATATATATATATATATATGCATATGTGCATTTTATTTTGGAGGCAACTATCCGAGGCACAGAGAAATGCAAAAAGGGGATTCATGTAGGTTCTAACACTGATTACCTCAGGGAGGACAGAGGTAAGAGGTGAGTATTCATGTGACAGAGCAAACTAAATTAAAAGACATAAATCAAGAGGTCCTTAAAATCATTATGTATGAATTCAACTCATTTATATATATTTATATATATATATATATACACACACACACACGCACCTATGAAGAAATATATGAAAGTCACCTCACTAAAATATGTTATTTAAGAGTAATGGCTTTTCAAGTGATAGTTTTACTTTTTTCTTCTCTATACAAATAAATACCAACATATTGAACTTGATGTACAAAGAGCCCCTACAAATAACACATATACTTATGTGGCATACTTTTGGTTGCAAGAAAAAAGAAAATCCAACTCAAACTGGCTTAAGCAAAAATGGAATTTATTGGCTCACATAAGTAAAAAATCCACAAGTAGGGCTGATTTCAGATCCAACTTGATCTAGACTTTCCAGATTGCCTCTGGGCTCCAACTTAGACTCTCTCTCATTTTTTTGGTACAGCCCCGAGGCTGGCTCTTTTGTATTAGAAAAACTTGCAGCAAGTTATGAGGGTCTATCTTCGTACCACACTATCTCCAAGAAGGTGTCCTCTTGCAGCCATTCCTAAGGAAGCCTCAACCAAGTATCTTATATCAAAGCAGCCTGAACTGGGTCAGGTCCCTATCCCTGAACCATTTATTTTGGGAGTGAGGGAAGAGTTAGGAGCGCTGATTAAATGTAACCAAGCCAACTCTACCTATAGAGCTGGGGATGTGACAATCCCATTTGAACCACAATGCATGATGGGAGGAAGTTGGTTATCCAAAGAAAACATGAGTGCAAGTGAATGCTAGATGGGCAACCACAACATACATAAGAATTAAAACAATACAAATATCTAATAAGATATTGAAAGTGCCCAATCTCATTAGTAATGAAAGAAATAAAAATAAAATTAGATAATTTGTCACTTACCAGGTTAATTTAAAAAAGAAAAAGTCCTGTTTGTGAGAGATTGGGGGGGGGGGTACAGAGCTAAGAATACGTGCTCACACGATTCCAAATGTGTAACACCACAGCTCTAAGAGGCTCCTCAGCAAATTTTATACTACACTCAAACAACATGAATTTCTATATATGAAACAAAAAGCTAACAACAAATAGAAAATTTAAAGCACCAAAAGAAGTTGACTCCTTTATTTTTGTTTTTAAATCCAAACTGATAAGATGTTCCCATTCAGGAAAAAAAAAATCATCCAAGACCCCTGGGTAAATCTGTACTTATATTCCTTAGCTCTAATTCTTGACTTAGACTATTTCTTTCTATCCACTTCTTTGAACATTCTTAGACAAAACCCAGGATGGAGTCTCTAGTAAATTACCGCTGGCATAGCTGGGATCAGAACTGGGATAAATGTCTTCAGCAAACTGATTAGATGCTTTTCCCCTCATCTTAACCAGATAAAAACCTTCCAAAATATAATTAGTGAAATGGAACCCAAGATATAAAAGCATAATACTTAAATATTGAGAAGAACTATAATATAGCATTCCAGTTTACTTGAAAATCAGAATAACTATACATTAAACTGTGTTTAAAGATATTATGGTTGTGAGGTAGGTCTGTGCCATCCCACAGAAAAAGTAGTAGTAATCAGGATTATTTTATGAGCTATGGGGTCAGTTCCATACTTGTACAGAATCACATATATTTCTTGAGTATGTAAAGTACAACGAATCAAAATCAAGTTCAATCCCACTGCATTCAATTAGAAAGTCAACACCAAGTGTGCACCTGTATATATGACAATTAAGTACCTGAAATGAAACATTCCCACAGATTTCAATTCTGAGCAAAAGACTGTTCCCAGATTTAATTTCTTTTCTCAGGTCCAATTACAAAGTAAAGGTCCTGTACATCTCCTGATTTTGTATCTTTCCTAAGTCAAGTATTTTCATTCCAATCCAAGAAGGAAAAAGAACTAAGAAACCACCCACTACTACCTTTATAGCCAAGAAATCTGAACTACTTCTTTAACACATAACAAAAAATGACTAAAAAAAAAAAAATTAAAAATAAAAATAAAGGAAATCCTTTAATCCTGCTGTGTTAAATCAAAAAGCTAGGAACTAGCCATAGCAAAAGGAACAGCGGTTGAGAGTATGGACTTATGAAAAATGCTTTCACTTGAATCCAGCTCCATTACTGATTAAGCTATGTGATCCTTGGGGAGTTACCTAAACAAAGCTATGTTTCATTATCCTCATCTTTAAAATGGGCATAATAGGCATACCAACCAATCTCTTAAGGTTGCTGTGAGGTTTAATGAAATAATCTAGCAATTAGACCATCACCTGGCATCAAGGAAGCTTTCAATAAATGTTAACTATTACTCTTAATATAAATTATTTATTTATTTGTTTAGCTCTGTGTATCAGTACTCCTAGAATTCAAAACACTATATTCTAATTGTTCTAATTTGACCATCTCCAAAAGGCACTTTTAAACTACTTCAAATGATCTGGAAATAAAGAATTAATAAAATCCTCAGCTATTTAAATGACTAATTTTAGATATCATAACTACTTCACTTAGAAAACCTCCACTATGAAATAAGCTTGCAACAAAATAGTAGAGTGAAAGCCATATAATAGAATCTGAGTGACGCTCTATTCAGAATGTTCCTTACCCATGAGAGCAACAGGGAAATGTAGAATACTTCCTGCACAAATGCATCTAGGGAAAGCAGGCTATATTTATTTCAAAAACTATAAAAGATTACAATATAAATCTATCAAACAAAATTAGTTTTAAAAGTAAGTGACTCATATGTATCCAAATTTTGACCGAATCAACACAACAATCCAATGCACACAAAAAGATTATTATATACCTCAAAGAGCAAAAAGCAATAAACAGAAATAAATGTCTTGTCAATTCAGACACTATATAAATATACAAATCTACAGCTTTAATGTAACACAAATTATAAGTACATCTGTTAGCTACTTTTCTCCAACAATAAAGGAGTAAATGTTTTATATTTAGTAAATACATATATAGTGTATAAAACCTTTAATCACATGTAATGTAGTTTCACAGATGTGAACCAAGTAGAATGTAAGGTTGTCTTACGTAAAGATGTACATTTCAGAAAGAACCCCAACTTGAAGTCAATCCGCTATCACAAGTTATTGCATCATTTGCAACTGTACAGAAATTAGTATCAGACATCTTACTGAGGAGTATAAGGGTAACCTGGCTAAAAGGACAAATAACTTATTTGGGGGCTTAATATAGCAGGTATCAACGTAAATTAAATAACATATGAGTGAAAAAAAAAAGCAGTGTATAATATAGCAAGAGGTTAGAAAACTGAATACTGTGGAAAAGATTTATTAGTCTGTACAAGTTGGTTTTGATAAACTATTGGCTACTTGTTACAGTAAATTACCAAGATGTCCATTGCAACAGTATTTTCCAACACACATCAAAATCTGGAAACAATAGGTCTTTCTCAAATTGTCATTTAGTGTTCTTTTCCCAACCCTCAAAACACAGAGACAGGTTTCTGAATAGCAACTAGCCATTTAGGGAAGTCATGAGATACAGATGTTCATAAACATTATACAAGCTACAAATGAGGTACCCGGACAAACACCACCAGCATTATGGGAGAAGGTGTCGGTTTACATTGCTAAGTACTACACCAGTTACATAAACACACTATTCGCATCCTTCCCAAACCAAAATGGGGGAAAACCTTATTGCCATTCTGCCAAACACCACATAACTAAAAATGCTGCACAAAGGGTCAGAATCCAACGTAGGTAACCAGAGTTAAAACTCCAGTTAAGCAACTGAGCTTGAAGAAAATTTAAAAGTGAGGCCAAACTTTGTAATATGTCAATGCTATTTTAGAAGCATCATCAGAACAGAGATTTAATTATAAATTGACCTGGACTGCGGCCTGTCAAGAGAATTTTGTTTAGTACTAAAAGAGAATCGGTCAGCAAACATCCTACAAAAGCTGTGTAATCATGCTCTGTGTTATTCCTGAAAGGAAATCTGCCAGGTCTGATGATACCTGAATATCTCCCAGTGGTTCTGGGAGCTCTACATACCAATTAATTCAGTAATTGATAGGAGTTTTTAAGCAAAGAGGAGACCAAAAGTAGACCTTGTATCAACATATACTAGATAGGTGGATTTTTTTTTAATCACATGATAAATGTAAATCATAAAATCAAATGTACTTGTAAAAGTACACCTATTTTATGTTACATAAAAACCTATAGACTGCAAACTATGCATGCTTACCATAACATTTTACCTGGGAAAGCCGATGAGCGGGATTTCTTGCAAGTATTTACTGCCATGATACAAAACAAATATGTGCAAACTGCAAGGTCCCTAAAATAGCAGTTAAAGAGTTTATATACAGAAAGATGTCACTATCTGATCAAATACGCAAGAGATGGAGTTTCCCAGAGTTTATAACATAGAACAGTAACCACCACAGGCCCCTCCTCCAGGGCCTTCTTCCCTGTGTGTCAGTTTGACTCCTTTATTCTGGTTCTCACTTTCCCACAGTCCAGGTGTCTGAATGATCTTTTCAACAAGTTCCTCAAAGGCACACTGTACACCATCACAGGTTTTTGCACTTGCCTCTGAAATTCAAGAAAAAAATGTCAGAGTATATTCTTTTCTGGCCATATTCCTATGTTTTTCTGGGAAATTATTATGGTGTAAACATCAGCCAGCAGTATACACAGAGGCAAGTCAGCAATTTCTCCCCACAGTTTAATATCATGAATTCTGCCCAACTCTCAAAGTTGACCGATTTAAATTCTATCCACAAAAACAGTGGTATATAAGCCCAAGATTTTGTCATAGAATTGCACACTGTAAAACCCTACAGAAATATTATGCCAAAATTTCTCAGTGAGTAACTAATTTTTTAGTTAGTTCTTAAAATCAACCCCTAAAACAGATTCTTCTTCTCATTTCAGAATAAGGAAATTCAGGCTCCAAGTTGAACAATCTGGCCATTCTGTGCCTGCAATCAAGGAGCTCTAGGTGGTTGGATAAATGATACACACCCATGGACACTGGTCTCCTTTAATGTTTATGCTTCCCATGAAACTGATGTGGACACTGAGCCCTACTCCTCAATAGTACCTTTCCCTAGTCATTACCTTTTTCACTATTTGAATGACTCCCTTATTCCTTTATCATAAAACTCCTCTATCTCAGCTCATGACCTAACTTTATCTTGAGAAAAATAGAAATGATCTGACAGGAGCTAACCGATCATATACCACTAAGAGATTCACCAACCTGTCTGCATTTGTAACCATGGGCTCTTGCCTTCGCTCTTGTGACAGTACATGAACGGTCCCTGCTGTTATCTAAGGAGGATCCCCTTTTCTAACTCCTTAGATCCCATCCCTTCTCATTCACTGAAGAATCATGTGCCTTCACTACTGGATCACATCAGTCAGCTTAAAAACCTGCCAAAACTATTGTCCATCTTACTAATCAATCAAGCAACCAACCACCCCACCCCCCAGCCCATGTGTCCTTCTAGTAGCCACCTGGGTTCTCTGTTTCAAAGCAAAACTGATAATCAAGATTTACCTACAAGTTAGCTACTTAAGCTGTTTCTACTTTCTTACCTCACGTTTTCTTCAAACTGTAACTGACCCTTGAACAACACCAGTTTGAACTGTGAAGCTCCATTTACACATGGATTTTTTTCTATACAGTATGGTACTATAAAGGAGTTTTCTCTTCCTTATGATTTTCTTTTTTTTTTCTTATGATTTTCTTAATAACATTTTTTCTCTAGCTTACTTTATTGTAAGAATATAGTATGTAATACACATAACATACAGAATATGCATTCACTGACTTTTATCAGTAAGGTTTCAGGTCAACAATAGGCCATTAGCAATACAGTTTTGGAGGAGTCAAAAGATATACAGAGGTTTTTGACTGTGAGGGGGGTCGGCACCCTACCCCCACATTGTTCAAGGGTCAGCTGTACCCTAACTAGGCTTTTGTTCTCATCACTCCGTTGAAACTATTTTCTAAAAAAATACCAACATTCTCTATCCTGTCAAACCCAATGTCCTTATCCTATTCGACATCTAGCATTTGATACAGCTGATCACTTTCTTCCTTTAAATACTTTGTTCACTTGACTTCCAGGACACTGAACATTGCTCATATTCCTCCTCTCACCAGGACATCGTTCAGTCTTACTCACTGACCCTTCCACTTTCTGCTGACCTCTAACTGGTGGAGCATCCCAGGCTTCAATCTTCAGCTGTTTTCTACCCAGTTACTCCTGTGACCACTATAACTCCATGACTTAAAATACCACCTACATGCTAATGATCAGCATGTCCACTGGTTATCTGAGAAATGATTCATTCTTATATTAAGCAGAATTCTTAATTCCCCTCTCCCTTACCCAAACCTGTTCTTACATCAGCCTTCCACACACAGTTAATGGCAACACAGTCCACCTAGTATGCTCATGCCAAAGACTCAGAGTTACCCTTGATTGTTCTCTTTCCTTATCCTCAATACCCAATTTATCAACAGAGCCTGTCACCTTTATCATCCAAATATCTCCTAGATCTGCCATCCTTCCACCATCCACAACTACTCCCAAAGATAAAGGCATCGGTATTATTCATCTGGGCCACTGTAAGAAAATGATGAACCTCTTGCTTCTGCTTCACATGGACCATCTTCTGTACAAACAGGTCTTTTTAAAAGAGTACCAGAGGAGAAGGGGCAAGATGGAGGAAGAGTAGGGTCCCCAACTCACCTGTCCCCACCAAATTACCTAGATAACCTTCAAATCATCCTGAAAATCTACGAATTCGGCCTGAGATTTAAAGAGAGACCAGCTGGAATGCTACAGTGAGAAGAGTTCCCGCTTCTATCAAGGTAGGAAGACGGGGAAAAAGAAATAAACAAAAGGCCTCCGAGGGGGAGGGGCCCCGAGAGGAGCCGGGCTGAGGCCGGGGCGAGTGTCCCCAGGACAGGAGAGCCCCGCACGGGGGAGCAGGAGCTGCACCAACCTTCCTGGGCGGAAAGGAGCTCGCAGTTAGAGCAGGACCCAGGAGGGCGGGGATGCCCTCGGGCTCCCTGGGACACTAACAGACACCTGCGCCCTGGGGAGAGTGCGGAGCTCCCTAAGGGCTGCAGCGCGCACGGCAGGGCCCGGAGCAGCTGGGAGGGGCTCGGAGGGGCTCGGGCGGCTGCTCCGCGGAGGGGGCTGCTGGGCGGGAGCGCGAATCCAACAGCGCAGGCCCCAGAGCACAGGGCGCCGGGACACAGCCCAGGATCCGGCCTCCCCCGGGACAGGCAGAGGCCGGGAGGGCCCAGGACAGCAAGGACGCTCCTGCCCCGAGCTGAGCAGATCAGCGGCCCCGCCCCAGAGCCTCCAGGCCCTGCGGACTGAGAGCCCCGGAGTTACTGGGGGAGCTGAGTCCAGGGCTGCAGAGCTGGCCCCATCACTGGGGTTGTTCCCCCTGGGGCCTCACGGGGTGAACAACCCCCACTGAGCCCTGCACCAGGCAGGGGGCAGAGCAGCTCCCCCAAGTGCTACCACCTGAAAATCAGCACAACAGGCCCCTCCCCAGAAGACCAGCTAGACGGACAAGTTCCAGGGGAAGTCGAGGGACTTAAAGTCTACAGAATCAAAGGATACTCCCCCGTGTTTTTTATTTCTTTTTTTCTTTTGATTTCTGATTGCTTCCCCCACCCCCTTTTTTTTTCACCTTTCTTTCTTTTTCTTTCTTTTTCTTCTCTTTTTTCCTTTTTTTTCTTCTTTTTCTTTTTTCTTTTTCTCTTTTCTTTCCTTCTCTCTGTCTTTTTCTCCTTTTCCCAATACAACTTGTTTTTGGCCACTCAGCACTGAGCAAAATGACTAGAAGGAAAACCTCACCTCAAAAGAAAGAATCAGAAACAGTTCTCTCTCCCACAGTTACAAAATATGGATTACAATTCAATGTCAGAAAGCCAATTCAGAAGCACTATTATACAGCTACTACTGGCTCTAGAAAAAAGCATAAAGGACTCAACAGACTTCATGACTGCAGAATTTAGATCCAATTAGGTAGAAACTAAAAATCAATTGAATAAGATGCAATCCGAACTAGAGGTCCTAAGGACGAGGGTTAATGAGGTGGAAGAATGAGTGAGTGACATAGAAGACAAGTTGATGGCAAAGAGGGAAACTGAGGAAAAAAGAGACAAACAATTAAAAGATCATGAGGATAGATTAAGGGAAATAAATGACAGCTTGAGGAAGAAAAATCTACATTTAATTGGGGTTCCTGAGTGCACCGAAAGGGAGAGAGGGCCAGAATATGTATTTGAACAAATCATAGCTGAAAACTTTCCCAATCTGGGAAGGGAAACAGGCATTCAGATCCAGGAAATAGAGAGACCCCCCACCCCCCTAAAATCAATAAAAACTGTTCAACACCTCGACATTTAATAGTGAAGCTTGCAAATTCCAAAGATAAAGAGAAGATCCTTAAAGCAGCAAGAGACAAGAAGTCCCTGATCTTTATGGGGAGGAGTATTAGGGTAACAGCAGACCTCTCGACATAGACCTGGCAGGACAGAAAGGGCTGGCAGGATATATTCAGGGTCCTAAATGAGAAGAATATGCAACCAAGAATACTTTATCCAGCAAGGCTCTCATTCAAAATGGAAGGAGAGATAAAGAGCTTCCAAGACAGGCAGGAACTGAAAGAATATGTGACCTCCAAACCAGCTCTGCAAGAAATTTTAAGGGGGACTCTTAAAATCCCCCTTTAAGAAGAAGTTCAGTGGAACAATCCACAAAAACAAGGACTGAACAGATATCATGATGACACTAAACTCATATCTTTCAAAGTAACTCTGAACATGAACGGGCTTAATGACCCCATCAAAAGGTGCAGGGTTTCAGACTGGATAAAAAAGCAGGACCCATCTATTTGCTGTCTACAAGAGACTCATTTTAGACAGAAGGACACCTACAGCCTGAAAGTAAAAGGTTGGAGAACCATTTACCATTCAAATGGTCCTCAAAAGAAAGCAGGGGTAGCCATCCTTATATCAGATAAACTAAAATTTACCCCGAAGACTGTAGTGAGAGATGAAGAGGGACACTATATCATACTTAAAGGATCTATCCAACAAAAGGACTTAACAATCAATATATATGCCCCGAATGTGGGAGCTCCCAAATATATCATTCAATTAATAACCAAAGTTAAGACATACTTAGATAATAATACACTTATACTTGGTGACTTCAATCTAGCACTTTCTATACTCGATAGGTCTTCTAAACACAACATCTCCAAAGAAACAAGAGCTTTAAATGATACACTGGACCAGATGGATTTCACAGATATCAACAGAACTTTACATCCAAACTCAACTGAATACACATTCTTCTCAAGTGCACATGGAAATTTCTCCAGAATAGACCACATACTGGGTCACAAATCGGGTCTGAACCGATACCAAAAGGTTGGGATTGTCCCCTGTGTATTCTCCGACCATAATACCTTGAAATTAGAACTAAATCACAACAAGAAGTTTGGAAGGACCTCAAACACGTGGAGGTTAAGGACCATCCTGCTAAAAGATGAAAGGGTCAACCAGGAAATTAAGGAAGAATTAAAAAGATTCATGGAAACTAATGCGAATGAAGATACAACCGTTCAAAATCTTTGGGATGCAGCAAAAGCAGTCCTGAGGGGGAAAAACATCGTAATACAAGCATCCATTCAAAAACTGGAAAGAACTCAAATACAAAAGCTAACCTTACACACAAAGGAGCTAGAGAAAAAACAGCAAATAGATCCTACACCCAGCAGTAGAAGAGAGTTAATAAAGATTCAAGCAGAACTCAACGAAATCGAGACCAGAAGAACTGTGGAACAGATCAACAAAACCAGGAGTTGGTTCTTTGAAAGAATTAATAAGATTGATAAACCATTAGCCAGCCTTATTAAAAAGAAGAGAAAGAAGACTCAAATTAATAAAATCATGAATGAGAAAGGAGAGATCACTACCAACACCAAGGAAATGCAAATGATTTTAAAAACATATTATGAACAGCTCTACGCCAATAAATTAGGCAATCTAGAAGAAATGGACGCATTCCTGGAAAGACACAAACGACCAAAACTGGAACAGGAAGAAATAGAAAACCTGAACAGGCCAATAACCAGGGAGGAAATTGAAGCAGTCATCAAAAACCTCCCAAGACACAAGAGTCCAGGGCCAGATGGCTTCCCAGGGGAATTCTATCAAACGTTTGAAGAAGAAACTATACCTATTCTACTAAAGCTGTTTGGAAAGATAGAAAGAGATGGAGTACTTCCAAATTCCTTCTATGAGGCCAGCATCACCTTAATTCCAAAACCAGACAAAGACCCCACCAAAAAGGAGAATTACAGACCAATATCCCTGATGAACATGGATGCAAAAATTCTCAACAAGATACTAGCCAATAGGATCCAACAACACATTAAGAAAATTATTCACCATGACCAAGTAGGATTTATCCCCAGGACACAAGGCTGGTTCAACACTTGTAAAACAATCAATGTGATTCATAATATCAGCAAGAGAAAAACCAAGAACCATATGATCCTCTCATTAGATGCAGAGAAAGCATTTGACAAAATGCAGCATCCATTCCTGATCAAAACTCTTCAGAGTGTAGGGATAGAGGGAACATTCCTCAACATCTTAAAAGCCATCTACAAAAAGCCCACAGCAAATATCACTCTCAATGGGGAAGCACTGGGAGCCTTTCCCCTAAGATCAGGAACAAGACAGGGATGTCCACTCACACCACTGCTATTCAACATAGTATTGGAAGTCCTAGACTCAGCAATCAGACAACAAAAAGACATTAAAGGCATTCAAATTGGCAAAGAAGAAGTCAAATGCTCCCTCTTCGCCGACGACATGATACTCTACATAGAAAACCCAAAAGCCTCCACCCCAAGATTGCTAGAACTCATACAGCAATTTGGTAGCATGGCAGGATACAAAATCAATGCCCAGAAGTCAGTGGCATTTCTATACACTAACAATGAGACTGAAGAAAGAGAAATTAAGGAGTCAATCCCATTTACAATTGCACCCAAAAGCATAAGATACCTAGGAATAAACCTAACCAAAGAGGTAAAGGATCTATACCCTCAAAACTATAAACACTTCTGAAAGAAATTGAGGAAGACACAAAGAGAAGGAAAGATATTCCATGCTCATGGATTGGCAGAATTAATATTGTGAAAATGTCAATGTTACCCAGGGCGATTTACACGTTTAATGCAATCCCTATCAAAATACCATGGACTTTCTTCAGAGGGTTAGAACAAATTATTTTAAGATTTGTGTGGAATCAGAAAAGACCCCGAATAGCCAGGGGGATTTTAAAAAAGAAAACCATATCTGGGGGCATCACAATGCCAGATTTCAGGTTGTACTACAAAGCTGTGGTCATCAAGACAGTGTGGTACTGGCACAAAAACAGACACATAGGTCAATGGAACAGAATAGAGAACCCAGAAGTGGACCCTGAACTTTATGGTCAACTAATATTCGATAAAGGAGGAAAGACTATCCACTGGAAGAAAGACAGTCTCTTTAATAAATGGTGCTGGGAAAATTGGACATCCACATGCAGAAGAAAGAAACTAGACCACTCTCTTGCACTATACACAAAGATAAACTCAAAATGGATGAAAGATCTAAATGTGAGACAAGATTCCATCAAAATCCTAGAGGAGAACACAGGCAACACCCTTTTTGAACTTGGCCACAGCAACTTCTTGCAAGATACATCCACGAAAGCAAAAGAAACAAAAGCAAAAATGAACTATTGGGACTTCATCAAGATAAGAAGCTTTTGCACAGCAAAGGATACAGTCAACAAAACTCAAAGACAACCTACAGAATGGGAGAAGATATTTGCAATAACATATCAGATAAAGGGCTAGTTTCCAAAATCTATAAAGAACTTATTAAACTCAACAGCAAAGAAACAAACAATCCAATCATGAAATGGGCAAAAGACATGAAGAGAAATCTCACAGAGGAAGACATAGACATGGCCAACAGGCACATGAGAAAATGCTCTGCATCACTTGCCATCAGGGAAATACAAATCAAAACCACATTGAGATACCACCTCACACCAGTGAGAATGGGGAAAATTAACAAGGCAGGAAACAACAAATGTTGGAGAGGATGCAGAGAAAAGGGAATCCTCTTACACTGTTGGTGGGAATGTGAACTGGTGCAGCCACTCTGGAAAACTGTGCTGGAGGTTCCTCAAAAAGTTAAAAATAGACCTGCCCTATGACCCAGCAATTGCACTGTTGGGATTTACCCCAAAGATTCAGATGCAATGAAACGCCGGGACACCTGCTCCCCGATGTTTCTAGCAGCAATGTCCACAATAGCCAAACTGTGGAAGGAGCCTCGGTGCCCATCGAAAGATGAATGGATAAAGAAGATGTGGTTTATGTATACAATGGAATATTACTCAGCCATTAGAAAGGACAAATACCCACCATTTGCTTCAACGTGGATGGAACTGGAGGGTATTATGCTGAGTGAAGTAAGTCAATCGGAGAAAGACAAACAGTGTATGTTCTCATTCATTTGGGGAATATGAATAATAGTGAAAGGGAATATAAGGGAAGGGAGAAGAAATGTGTGGGAAATATCAGAAAGGGACACAGAACATAGACTCCTAACTCTGGGAAACGAACTAGGGGTGGTGGAAGGGGAGGAGGGCGGGAGGTGGGGGTGAATGGGTGACGGGCACTGAGGGGGACACTTGACGGGATGAGCACTGGGTGTTATTCTGTATGTTGGTAAATTGAACACCAATAAAAATTAATTTATTAAAAAAAATAAAAAAATAAAATAAATAAAAGTACCAGATCACAAAACTACCCCCTCACTTTTCACACTTAGAATGAAATCCATCTCTTTACCATACCTTAAAAAGGCCCAACGTGACTTTTTAAATCTTCTCTCCCATCATCACCACCTTTTCCCCCAACATACACTATGCTTCAGCCCACAAGCTTTTTTCCTGTCCCTTAAACACACTAAACCGCTTCCTAGCTCAGGAAATATGTGCTTTCTATTCCTTTCTAAAATTTCCTATTACCTTCCACTTATAGCACCCTGCTTCTATCTATAGATGATGTTCTTCCATTTCCATTTTCTAATGCCTAAAAGATTCTAACACAGTGAAGTAGCTAAATAAGTAATTCCTAAAGTTGGCTTCACACCAGAATCAACTAGGGTGTTTCTATAAACTGTCTTCCAGGCCCAGTTTCAGGCCTGTAACAAGGTTCAAGGAACCTGTAGTGTTAAAAAAGTTCTACAGTGATATAGCCTGTCCACTTTTCTAGACAGGGGGTCAACAAACTTTTTCTGTAAAGGGCCAGATGGTAAATATTTTAGGCTTTGAACACCATATGGTTTCTGTTGTAACTAGTGAACTCTGCCATGAGGCACAAAGCAGCTATAGACAGCACGTAGATAACTGGGTAGATACGGCTGTGTTTCAGTACAAATGGTGTGGCCAGATCTGACCCCATGCTGTAGTGTGCCAAACCCTATTTTACAATGTTTCTCAAGTACTGATGTGCATACAAATCACAAGAAGATCTTGTTAAAATACAGATTCTAATTCAGAAAAGCTGGACTGGGCCTCAAAATGAAGCATTTATAACAAACTCCCCAGGTGGTACACCACTGTTGCTGGCACAAGGACCAGCAAAGTACAACCAAAGCACTGAGTGCCTGGCTTTGCTGAACGCCGTTATATCCTGAGAGGAAAGATTTGACTGTGTCCTGTACAACTTCACATAATGTGATTTTTTTTTTAACAAAAGGAAAAATGAACCTAGCTGTACAGCTAGATTTTAGAACACAAAAAAATGATGACCTAAGTACATACATTTTACAGTTTATAAAGAGAAAAATATAGCAAAAACTCCATTTTAAAATTTCTCATTAACAATGAAAGGATAAATGTTCACACACCTACCTATAAATAACATGGAATGTTTTCGTGCAAATTTCAGGCCTTCATTTCTATCAACCTCACGATTTTCCTAAAAGATAAATATAAAGATTAAGAAAAGCTATCTACTAAAATACAGTCAAAATGTCAAGTGTCTGACTTCTTACCTTATCAATTTTATTTCCAACTAGCATGTTTACTATGTCATTTCTCGTGCAGTATGTTTCCAATTCATTTAACCAATTATCCAATTTAACAAAGGTATCTCTTCTTGTGACATCATAAACTGAAATAAAAAGGGTCACTTATTAAATAAGCATTAGAAATAAGAAGCAGTGATATAATATTTCTGATATATGACTGAGAACTAATATTCTATATAGGTGATTATGTTTCTAAGCCTTCAATGCTTAACAATCAGTATCTACTCACCCAGATGAAAGAAACAAGTCTATTAAAAAATAATAAACACATACATATACATTCTTCAATTTTAACACACATTGTTAGAGAAATGAGATTATATCCTGTGCAATAATTAAAAATAATTTAAGCAAAACAACTGTTGTTCCCATTCCTAATAGTAAAAAACATTTATCCAAAGACCAAAAAACATTCATATTCAATCTGTGGCAAAATACCAAATTTTTTACATGGATTTAAACATCTATGATCCTGTTAATTTGTTTCTTACAAGGACCAGAATTTCCAACTTTGAAAAAATATGAAAAAAAAAAAGAAAAAATATGTAAACTTAATGGATAGGATTCTATCTCCCTGTTACCACTTTCATCTTACATGAAACCACATTATAACATAAAAGCTTATTAATATAAAAACCTTATTAAAATGTTTTCTAAACTTAAAGGCTGAACCAAAATAAGAGTTGCTGTTAATGAAATGAACCCAAACCTCACAAGTTATAATACAAAAAGACAATTCTCTCTAAAATTGATCAGTATTTATTTTAAAAAGTTTCTCTGGCATATTAATAGCAAGTACTTTTCAACACTTTACAGTAAGAATCCCCATTTGTTTTTTAAATTCTGTATGATTACGAATCAACAATGTTAAGTGCTTTGTGATACTTTTTAGGACAATAAAACATTCAACTAAGCAACTAGTAGGCTTCTTCCTTTATAAACACAAAGCAAATGTTAATACACTGCTCACTGAAGGTCAGTTTCTGGTTAACACTCTTAAGACAGACCAATGGCATGCAGATTAATCCTCAATTAAGTCCTCATCATTATGAGCCTTTAAACCAAGTTAATTAATCTGATCTTTATCTTTTAATTGCTAGACAAAAGACTGAAAATAAATTTTGAAAGTTTAAATAGTCATTAATGTAAAATCAAGCTTACTATAACTTCAAGTTACATAAAGATGCCCCTGAAGAAAAATAAAAATTTATTGACCTTCACAGATTAAGAAAATCAGAAATTGTAATAATAAGACAATAATATTTTTCAAGCATTATCTTAAAGGAAAACCTTACCTAATATAACACCCTGTGCACCTCTATAATAGCTCGGAGTTAATGTTCTGAACCTTTCTTGACCAGCAGTATCCTAAAAGTGACAATCATTATTATTAAATTTTTAAAAGTATAAATTAAGAGTAGAAAATCAAACATTAAAAAAAAAGAAAAAAAGAAAATCAAACATTATTAAAAATACCCATGCACAAGCTGATTTAAAACTTGAAATTTAAATTAGATGTATTTTCTTACTGACAAGTGTTATTACATAAAATAAAATTAATACTCATCTCTAGAAAAATGCATCTAAGTAAACAGATTTTTTAATTTTTTAAATATTTTTATTTATTCATGAGAGAGAGAGAGAGAGAGAGAGAGGCAGAGACACAGGCAGAGAGAGAAGCAGGCTCCATGCAGGAAGCCTGGTATGAGACTCGATCCCGGGACTCAGGGATCATGCGTTGAGCCACCCAGACATCCCAAAGGCTTTTTATTTTATTTTTTTAAAAGATTTTTTTTATTTATTCATGAAAGACACACAGAGAGAAAGGCAGAGACGTAGGCAGAGGGAGAAGCAGGCTCCAGGCAGGTAGCCTGATGTGGGACTTGATCCTGAGACCGCAGGATGACACCCTGAGCCGGGGCAGGTACTCAACTGCTGAGCCACCCAGGCATCCTGGTTTTTTGTTTTTAAAAAAGATTTTTATTGCACATGAATATTTACTTGAAAGCCATGGTTCTCAACTTTAGAAGCACAATGAAATTTCCTGGGAAATGAAAAATTCCGATGCCTGAGTCCAATCCCTAATGATTCTGATTTAATTGGTCTAAGTAAGAAAGTAGGTTTCAAAATCTTCCCAGGTGATTCTAACATAGAATCAAGGTTGAGAACCTCTTATTTTTTTAAAAGAGAATTACAAGAGTGTCTTACTATAGTTAAGCAATTTTCAGGTTGAACTCTTAAAGTATTTTCTATGTATCTTCTTTTAGGAAAATGCATAAAACCAAACCACTTGCTATCACATGTTTCTGACTCCTACTGGGAGAGACGAACAGAAGATGTACACCAGCTAGGAAGTGCAAGTTTCGTAAAAAAAAGACTTCATCTGCTTAATCATGGGTTTAAGCCTTGTGCCCAGAGCAATTCTTGCCACAGGATAGTTGTTCAACTTTTCTTAGAAAAAAAAGAAGAAAGAAGAAAGGAAGAAGGAGAAAGGAAGAAAGGAAGAAAGAAGAAGAAGAAAGAAAGAAAGAAAGAAAGAAAGAAAGAAAGAAAGAAAGAAGAAGAAAGAAGAAAGGAAGAAAGGAGAAGGAAGAAAGAAGAAAGGAAGAAGGAAAGGAAGAAAGAAGAAAGGAAGAAAGGAAGAAAGGAAGAAAGAAGAAAGAAGAAGGAAGAAAGGAAGAAAGGAAAAGAGAAAGGAAGAAAGGAAGAAAGAAGAAGAAAAGAAAGAAAGAAGAAAGAAAGAAAGAAAGAAAGAAGAAGAAAGTCAGTCTGTACTTCTGGGTCTGGTTCCTTCTGTCTTTTTTCTAACATCCTTGGACTGTGGCTTCAAGGTACCTAATATTATGCAAAGCAGCAGTTGACAAATGGCTCCCTCAGCCCACTACCTGTTTTGTTAAATAAAATTTTACTGGAATACAGCCAGGCCCACTAGCTTATGCACTGCCACATGGCCGGCCTTCGGATTAGACTAAATATTTACTATCTGGACTTAGAAAGTTTCCAGTCTGCTAATATAAAATAACCTAAAGAAGAGTGAAGACGTATGTCAAACATCAACTTAGCTGCCCATCCCATGGTCATAAATTCGAGTTTAGCTATGTGGCAAGCAGAGGCTCCTTCAAATATGTAACATGTTAAGAACCTCTCAGAGGTTTAAAAGATTGGAGAGGAATTTTAAACTAGCAGTGACGGGCTCCGGCTACCTACTTTCCTACTTACCTACTTTCTTTCCCTGGCCAAAATAGAGACTGCTCTAATATGAAGAGCTATAAGTAGAGAGTATATGAGTAATTTACAGCCCCAGAAGAGAAACTTAACAGGAAAATAACTTTCAAAGTAAACCACTTTGCACATCTACTACTCTTCCTCAGATAAGCTTACATAATAAATGCAGAATATTCTTGCTTCCAGATTGTCACCACTACAGAAACTGCCCCCAACCTTGCCATGTTGAAATGAAAAAATTAACAAAATTAAAGCTAAACTTTCTAAACAGATAAATTTATGATAAAATGATTTCTCTCTTTAAAAAAATTCCCTTTGCTTCAAAAAAAAATTTTTTTTCAAGATGTTATTTACTTATTCATGAGAGACAGAGAGAGAGAGAGAGAGAGAGGCAGAGACACAGGCAGAGGGAGGAGCAGGCTCCATGCAGGGAGCCTGATGCGGAACTCGATCCCAGGGCTCCAGGATCACACCCTGGGTCGAAGGCAGGCGCTAAACTGCTGAAACCCAAGGATCCCAGCTTCAAAATTTCTTAAGAAACCTCTGATATTTAAAATTATTCTATCTGCATACTGGCTCAACTTTTCAAAAACAATAATATAAATTTAAGGTCCATAAAGTGCAGTGCACTTGCTATCTAAAGCAGATTATAATTTGGATAATTTGATATAGGTTAGGGCAAGGACCAAGCAGAAATAGTTTAGTCAAAAGACTTTTTGTTATAACAGAAAAATTCTGTTTGCATAACAAAACCCGTATTCACACTGTAGTAAATTAATTTCTAGAATAGCAGAAAGTATTTGAATATGAATTTTGTTCCCCTTCATCTTCACTGAGATCAGCTTCAGTAACTACCCTGATGAAACAACATAAAAATCAGAACTGCTCCTGGGTAGCCCAGTCAGTTGAGGGTTCAACTCTTGATTTCAGCTCAGGTCATGATCCCAGGGTCCTGGGATGGAGCCCGATGTCAGGTTCTGTGCTCAGCGGGGAGTCTGCCTCTTCCTCTCCATCTGCATCTCCTCTCACTTATGCTCTCTCTTGCTCTCTCTCAAATAAACTCTTAAAAAAAAAAAGAAATGGATAAAGGGCTAGGAAGTATCTGAAAAGGCTAAATATTAGAATGTGGGAGTGGAAATAAGGGTAGGATTTTGAGAAAAACAGCCCTAGAGGTGTTTTTAAGATCAGTGATTATTCTATTTGATCCTAGGAGGAGTGTCCAAGTAGGAAAGGAACTGATCTTATGTATATAAATAAAACTACAGAAGAATTAGAGGAAACAATGGATTTGTGTATTTCTCTTAATGAGTGAGGAGGAGGCCTTCCTCAATACAACATGATACCTAAATTCATGAAGAAAAATAACTGGTCTGACCACATAAATACTAAAACCTTGGTATGGCAAGAACATAGCTCCCCATACCATCTATACACACATTCATTCATCCTATACAAGATTGGAAGGCAAATGACAAACCAGAAAAAATATTCGAAGCATGTAAGTTAGTATTACACACACACACAAAAACAACAACAACAACAACAAAAACACCAGAACATTAACATTTGGGGTGTTTGGGTGGCTTAGCTAACCATCTTGACTCTTTATTTCAGCTCAGGTCATGATCTCAGGGTCATGAGACTGAGCCTTTTATTTAAAAAATATTTATAGTCCTATGATAAAGATATCACTTCAATAATACCTACCAACCTTTTTATTAACAGGAACTAAAAAATAAATAAAAAAAAAACTCTTGCATAAAAGAAAGATCTCATGGAAACCATCAAGCCTTAGATCCTATTCTAATATGCATATCTCACAAAACAGTAGCAAAGACAGAAAGAAGTGATTAATTCAACCATGAAAAGTACATGGAAAATCAGGCCCCACTTTTGTACAGAAAGAAGCCAGCATTGTTAAACTGTTCAATATATTTCATTATTACCTAGTCCAACATTTTTCAAATTGTTTTGTTAGACATTACTATTCTTATTGATACCATAATTATATTTCAGGGAGGGAGCAAATAGGATACCAATCATGTATTGTATGTTAGAAACACACAATTACTTGTCATTTGGGATAAAACGTGTGTTAGAAATAATATGCCATTCAGAGAATGCCAGGAAGATGAATCATATGATATAATTAATAAACACTTCTGTTTCAAACTGTAACTGATTTACTATTTAATCACTATGTTTAAGTACATCTCAAGGTGAAGACTGCTGACCAGTTCTAATATTATCACATGTAATAAAAACATATTTATATATTATCACAGTATATATGGGAATCAGATATATATGAGCATATTTTTATAAATTATTTATGTAATATTTTTAAAATATTAGCAATCATTTAGATAGAGAGAGGTAGACAGATACATAGACAGGAGTGAGGGAGAGACAAGTAGACAGACAGACACTGACCATTTTGGATGTTTTTGACATTTAATGCTACCTTTTTCAATCAGCACTATCAAGAAAAGGTCTAGTTAGGAAAGCAAGGTGTATCAGACTGTTTGGGTTCACAGGCAAATGAAGACAGTAGGTAAAGACTGGGCATAGGCATTAAAAAATAAATCCAAAATTGGTAAACTCAAATTTCATAAATATTTATACTTACAAACATAAAAAATACTGTTTTTCCTGAGCATTACTTCATCTCCTTCTCATCCACAACTGAGTGAGTATACATTGTCTTTTTAAGACTTTAAAGAAACATATTCAATAATAGTAATTCTCTCTGGCAAACAAGACTATTTTTCTGTACCTTATTCTGCTTTTAAATATTCTCAAGGGATTATATATTTTAAATTTTTAAGTAAAACAAGTCTCTGCCTAATTACCTAATTTTAAGGTATAACCATTTATTGTTTATCCCTTAATAGTAAGTTATCCAAAAGTTATTTAATACAAATTGTTTATCTCTAGAACTCTACACATCTCTGCTTCTTTAAAAAATACAAGTTGAATATTTGTACAAAGTACATTTTTAAAACTCTTACCCAAATTGCAAGTTTAGCCTTATTTCCATCCACTGAAATCGTTTTCACCTTAAAGTCAACACCTTAAAAAAAAAAAAAAGAAAATTTTGGTAAGAATTCCAGTAAAATAATATAAAATCAGTTATCAAGAAAACGAGAAAACAGAAAAGCCACTTTATCAAATACCAAGTTCACACCCCAAATTCTTGGAGTTATAGATGTGAAAATTAAAAAAAAAAAAGTTCAGCAGCTTAGGATTTAGTCAGGATAAATAAAAACCAAATGCTTGCAGAATTCACTCACCTACCTGTACTCCCTTGAAAAAAATAAAAAGTTTAATGAGAAAATAAACTTCAATGTAAGGTGATTAACAATGCATGTTAAAAGCCAAGTGCTGGATGGAATTCACAGTGCTAATGTAAAGACTCTATGGCTGACTCCAGATAAGGGTAATTTTCTTAAGAGTTCCAACTGTATCTATATTCCATTATCAAGAGTGCTGTCCATACCAGCCAATTCCCTAACTCAAATTCTGACTGTTAGCAGCTTAGTAAAAACATAAAAGGGCCACTTACTCCTTGTCTTATGAATGGTCTTCATCCTAAAAAACAGTATTTACCTATGTAACTTTATCAATGATCCCTTGCTACTGCACAGTTGCAAAAGGAGAACTTACACCCAAAAACACCTGTGCCAAATCTCTAAGAATCTTCATAAGTGAAATGCTCAAAGTGCTACGAAAACCTTCTGTAAGTACTGGGGCACCTGGGTGGCTCAGTGGTTGAGTGTCTGCCTTTGGCTCAGGTAGTGATCCTGGGGTCCTAGGATGGAGTCCCACATCAGGCTCACCACAGGAGCTTGCCTCCCCTCTGCAGGTGTGTCTCTGCCTCTCTCTGTCTCTTATGAATGAATGAATGAATGAATGAATGAATGAATAAATAAATAAATAAATAAATAAATAAATAAATAAATCTTTTAAAAAACAGCTATAAGTACTAATTTATGTAAAGAGAAGAGCTTCATAAGACGACACTTAAGGTTCTACTATATAGTATGGCCCTCCCCCCCACAAAAAAAATCAACCTCTCCCTTTTCAGGAAGAGGAGTTGACACATGTCATCTGGCTTAAATGAACAGATGTCCACATGTCTTTAAAGAGTATCAAAATTAATGTGCAGTCTACCCCACTGGCTAGAGGGAAAGCATTAGCTCAAGAAATTTGGAAAGAAACTTTCAAAAGATCTTATTAGCTTGTCATGATTGATTCAGAACATCCACAACTAAGATGAACAGCACCCTCATATACTAAACACTTACAAGAACACCTGTCACCAATATGAAAATATATTAGTAAATCTTGGATGATTTCTGGTGATCCACTACCAACACAAATTAGGTAATAAAAATGCATTTCAAAATGTGCATTATACCAAGTCTCTCTGCATGCCAAAGATTTAAGAAAAAAAAAATTTGGTGTTTTGACTAGGATGATAAAGGAGCTGATAAAGCCGCACCTAGAATCATGGGCAATTATTGTTAAATGACAGTGTCAAGAACATAGTCCAAGGAAAACCTAAGTGTAAAGTTTTTTTGCACCTAAACAAAAAATGTCATATTAAATAATCTTGTATTCACCAGGTCTAAAGAAATATGCCGTACCATTTATATAAAAAATATGAAATTACTTATATGTCATTTATAATGCGTTTTTTTTAAAAAAAAAGATTTTATTTATTCATGAGAGACACAGAAAGAGAGGCAGAGACACAGGCAGAGGGAAAAGCAGGCTCCTCACAGGGAGCCCAATGGGGAACTTGATCCCAGGACTCCAGGATCATGCCCTGAGCTGAAGGCAGACTCTCAACTGCTGAGCCACCCAGGTGTCCCATCATTCATAATGCTTTAAAGACAAAACAAAGCCTGAGAAAATTTGGATGAGGGAAATGGTTCTGACTTGGTACAGGTACAAAATTAAGGCCACTGGAAGACATTACAGAGATAACCCATCATACACACTCTACAGTTAAATTCTCAAAGTTTTTCAGAGAATAAAGAAAATTTTTTCCCTATTTACTCCAGATGACATGCTCACGGGCAGACTAGACTGGCTTTTTGCTAGCTATGAGCTAATTAGTCCACCCAAGAAAAGAAACTCACTGTTCCCAAAATGTTTATGTTTACTTCTCTCCAAATCTCCTCCCTCTTTTACAATTGCCTGTCTTTCATATGTTTCTTGACAGTCTAACGATGGCCTCTATCATATGTATCATTTACATGTTGATAATCTTCTCCAAGTTACTCTTCTGAGATATTAGACCTGAAAGTTAGATACCCTCCCCAGAAAACAATGCTCAGTGGAGTCCTACCTTCAAAGTCAGTACACACAGGTAGCCTGAAAGGGTGCCCCATCTGGAACCAGACCCTGCAAGTCCCCAATTTCATCTTTCTTTGGTGTCCTAGGCAGACGCTAAGCTCTGTAGCTTTCATATGCTTAAACTGCTTCTTCACCAAGTCTGGTTCTTCTGTTTTGCAAGTGGCCCATAATTTGTTTTTATTGGTGGCCACAGTGGGAATCTTTTTAATCTGATTTTGCCAACTTCTTACTAGATTTGATTAAACTATCTTTTGAATCTCCTCAGGTGAATGACAAGGAGCTCATAACAGCTGAACATCTAAGAAAAAAAAAAATTTCTGTGTATTTCCTCTACTCTCCTACAATACTGAACACTTCTGTGACCAAATACTGTGAGGGTTTTTCCTAAGAAATTCTCTGACTCTCCAGGTACATCAGTGTCCTACAACTCAATTCAGTCTGATAAAGTCAGATTCTACGGGGTAAAGGCTAGGCAAGAATAAGTCCTATGAGACTGCTGCACTCAGAGTGGGACACAGGTAAGGCAGAGAGAGAGACACAGGTGAGGCAGAGAGAGACACAGGTGAGTGAGAAGCAGGCCCCATGCAGGAAGCCCGATGTGGGACTCGATCCTGGGTCTCCAGGTTCACGCCCTGAAACAAAGGCAGACGCTCAACCACTGAGCCACCTTGGCTGCCCCCCAAATCCAGATTGTTACCCGTGCTTCCAACCACCTGGCTATTAACCAAAAGGTTCTCATAATCCTCACCCTTGATTAAATCAAATTGTGGCTCACAGAACTCAGAAAAACAGTTACTAGAGTATCATTTTATTCTAAAAGGATATACCCCAGGAACAGCCAGATGGAGGAGATAAATAAGGAAAAGTATAAGGAAGGGGCACGCAGCTCCCATGTCCCCTCCAAGTATGCCATCTCCCCAGAACTTTCAGGTGTTTGCCAAAAAAAGAACTCTCAGAACCCATAAACAGCATTTTTACAAAGGTTTCATTATTTAGGCATGACTGATTAAATCATTGGCCTTTGGAAACTGTACAAAATCTCCTGTCCCTCATCCCTCTTCCCTCCCCTGAGGCAGGGGAGGAAAGAGTAGGATTGAAAATCCCAATCATCCAATCACATGGTTGGTTCCTCAGGCAAGAGTCTCCACCTTTAGAGGCTTTCCAGAAGTCACAGGACTAAAACTCCGGTGTGGTTGAAAGGGGATAGTTATGAAAAACAAAAGACATCTCTTTGATCAGGTAAGAAAATCAAAGGGTTAAAAGGTCTGTGCCATGAACGAAATATATATTTTTTATTATAAATCACAATATCCACTGAATGGCCATTTTGGCTTTTTTTCTTGTCATTCATTTGGGCTTGCACTTTTAAAATGATTTTTAATTCACTTTTTTTAAAATAATCTTTTTTTAGGCACATTTTATGAAGGTTATTTTACTTAAAACTAGACATCATAGTCAATAAAGCCTTTAAGACAGGCAGTAAATGAAACATGAAAGTTTACCAAAAATATTATCAACTATATCATAAAGAGCTATTTGTCAGTGAAAAACTAGAACATATCAATGGAATCACCTGCCATGTCAAAAGGAGAAAAAGCAATCAACAGAAACTGAGAACTAACAAACATGTTAGAATTAGCAAATTAAAAACTATTTTAACTATATAGCACATGTTGAAAAAGTTAAGTAGACATGAGAGACTAAAAAGACACAAATCAAACTCAAGAGATGAAATGACAATGTCTGAGATGTAAAATACATGGGATGAGAGTAACAAAAATTAGATACTGTATAAGAAAACATAAGTGAATATGATGACAGCAACAGAAACTACCCAAAAGTTAAGAGAAAAAAAAATCAAAGAAAATGAGAAGGCATCCATGATATGAGGCAATTCCAAGTAGTCTAATCGGCAAGCAATGATAGTGGACAAAAAGAAGGTGGAAAGAAGGTCAAAAGATAGATCTAAAAAAATAATGGCCTCAAATTTTTCACAATTAATAAAATGTAAAACTTATTGATCAAAAAAGCTCAATGAACCCTAAGCACAGAAACATGAAGAAAACTATACTAAGGGTCACAATAACAAATTGCTCAAAGGGAAATTAGGAAGTTTTTCAAACTAGTATTTTGAATGAAAAGAAAAACATTAAAAAAAAAAAAAGAAAAACATTTATCAAAATTTGTGGGACGTCACTAAAGCAATACTTACAGGAAAATTTATAGAGCTAAGTGACCATATTAGAAAAAGATCATTTCACATCAATGACCTGAGCTTCCAAATTAAGACAATTTAAAAAGCAAAAAAATAGAAATCAGGCAGAAGAACAGAAATAATGAAGTTCAAAGCAGACACTGATAAAATGAAAACTGCAAAACCATTAAAAAAAATCAATGAAACAAAAAAGCTGGTTCTATGAGGGAAAAAAAATCAATAAACAGATAAATTCTAGCCTAAGTGATCAGGAGAAACAAACACAAAAATTACCATTATAAAGAATGAGAAAGATCACATCATTACAGATTTTAGAGGGAATGTTACAAAGTTCATGCCCCCCCAAAAAAACTGACAATTCAGATGAAATGTCAATTTCCTTCAAAGATTAAAAACTACCTGAATTTACTCAAAAAGAAATACATCACGAACAAAATACCTAAGGAATGTAAACAAAAGGAAATCAAAACATCACTATAAAAAATTAACTAAAC